GAATATTATGTACAATATAAAATCAGGGGTGTGTCTAGCAATTTGAGCAGCGGGGGGTCCAAGGTGGAGACAATGTCAAGCTTGGCGTTAAGTCGGGTGGAACTACTCTTGAAGTGGATAATATCAAAAACTTTGAGACAATATTTCTGCTCATTTAGGTGCATACATGCATAGGAATACAGTGAAGTGAGCCAAAAACAGGGGGAATACCGCCCCATCAAAGGAGGGTCCGGATCCCTGGATACGCCCCCTTTGGATATGCACCTGAAAATAAGGTTCATAAGTGCAGTTCAAATGATCCTTGTCTAAATCTGTAATGATTTCTAAGAAATTGTAATAACAATCAATAAACCGTCTGGCATACAATTACAATATTTAACCTTTGTCTACCTAACAGTTGTTGTAGATATGAATTGTAACGCCTCAGTATTGAAACTTGCATTATGAATGTGCAATAAACCATGTACATGTGGAATTGAAAATGCAATGAAATGGGGTTAACATACTACTTTTCTGCACCTACCTGGGCTAATAAATACGGGCATACGGGTATACATCCATGTAGTGTATATGAGAGAAATTTTGCCCGGACAGCAATTGAATTCCAAGTATCAAGGGTTCTTTTAGGTTCAAGGCAGTGTATACACGGGACCTCGGTTGTTTCCTTCCATCCAAATGACTAGACGCTGTTCCATGCTGGAGCCAATGTCCTGCACCCTGACAAGGGGAAACCATACCTGAAATTCCTGGGGTGTTTTCTTTGCCAACTCTAGGATCGAACCCAGGATGTAGAGGGTAACTCAGCGAACCACCTATGCTCTCATTTACATGCGGAGTGAAGGTGAATTTACTGAATAGGTTTCCAATGATAAACTTTCTAGTAAGAAATATATGTCTTTGCTGGTATCTTTATTTTTCTGTTAATTATGAACAAACCTTATAACATTTTTTAAATAATATGTGCTAAAACATACTTACTGTTATAGGTCTTTTGCCACAAATCTACATGAAGAACCCTAATCACACAAAAATAGGACGAAATACAAGAATCACAACAAAATAATGCATCTAAAGACGAACATCAAACTAGAAGTAATCCTGCCTAATGTAACGTGGAGTGTGATGTAAAGTCTGATTGAGTAAAGACCACAAGTAAAGCTCTAGTCAATTCTTGCCGACTGGTAAAAGTAAGTGAAGAATGTCAACAGAGCTGTTAATTGTCTGTATACACCTTTAACTAGTCTCTCTCACTCTATATTATATGCTGTACAGCTGAACAGACACACAGCTCAGTGGCTGTAGTATATACTATAAACTATAAAGGTCTATATATTTCATCCCTAAATACGATTTAGATTCAGGTTTATCAACACCTGTTCAAGTTGGATATATTCTCTATAATTTTTATGGATATTTATCATATAACTTGTACATGAATCATCAAAATAATAAAAAACACAAGTACAAGTCAAATTTTAAAAATTGAAAACAATACATATTGCCATGTGAGCATGTGACACTAAACTACAATTTTAGCTGAATATGGATGTAAATCTACAGGTTTTAAATCAATGAGACTTTAATAGCTACATCTTGTCAGATTTGAATAAAGCTGCCAAAAACTGCATACTCGTATTGAATTTTGATTTATATAGTCTTTTTACCATGAATTCTTTACCAAATAAAATGCAAATAGACAACTCAGACACATACCTAATCCAAACTGATTTAACTCTTCTTGCAAAGAAAAAGTAGGCTCTGCTTTTTGTGTTTGTGTGGTAGCGAAGGAGTGGTGGGGGTGTTGGAGGGTTCAAAAGATCTGTGTATTTTTAGTCCCTTGCAACTGCCCGAAAAAATAAACCAGCACACATTCATGCAGCAAGATCATAGGCATGTAAAAAAAGGCATGATTGAATAACAAAATAACTCAGCTTTCCGAGTATGTGCCTAGGACCTGGAGGATACAGTAACAATCCTACCCTTTTAGGAATCCTACAGTTTAGGAAGGATATTGATTTGCTATAGAACATAATACCCTGGGAATTTTAGCTGAACACAAAACAAATTTTTGTAAAATCATGTTTTATTTTTAACGTTTTCGTTTCGAACTGAACAGCTTTGAATAAGATTTGGTTGATGGCACAATAGACAATAAAGATTTAAATTATTAACGGCTTGTTTTCAAATACTATGCATTAAAAATGTTCACAATTTTTGTAGGAAGAATACATCATTACTATTATTGCTTAAAAAATATGTATATTATGTTGTCTGTTTAACGTATATCCTTCAATTACTTCAAAAATATGTTGTCAGGCAACTAAGCCAAGGCAACTAAGTACGCTAGTCACAAAGGTAATTTTTGTAGGTAATGGGGGCAATTGCAAGATATATGTACTAAAAACTGATAACATCACATCAAGTAATTATGGTATAAGAAATTATTAAAATTTGATAGGCTTCTAGTTCTTCCCAGTGCTAACATTTATTTAACAAATATTGTAGATGACTGATTTGTTATTTAAGTTTTCAATGGGCCCAAGAACATAACCACTGTGTATAAATTTCAAGTCAATCAGATGATAACTTTAGCTTCTAGCAATTGTGGACAACCGATGAAGAGTGTGACAACAATATACAATCACATTTCAGTGTGGGTCTTATAAAAATGTGTAATAAATCCCTATTTTGGTGTCATATAATAAGATATGATCAGATCACAGTTCTGTGATAATATCAAAAATAATGTCTTGCCTTGTCCTTTCTGTCAACCTAGATCTAGAGAGAGAGAGAGTTATTATCTTGCCAGCAGATGGGTAAAGAATGGAGAGTCATTTAAGATAATAAGTAGTGTGATAAGAGGTAGACATGTATAATGTAAGTAATAAACCCATCTAACAGGTGATGGGGGGAAATATTTAGGTAGGTCATAAAACATGACAACAAAACAACAATATGAATGACAGCAATTTTTAATTGAAATTGACAGTATTTGATGACCAACTTCTAATGAAATGGAAAATAAAACCAGAACATTATTTATATATTTTATTTCCTGGTGAATTATTATCATTGATTACCAGGTATGGCAAATTCACACACACAAGAGCATTTTATTATTGAGCTGTCCAAAGCCCCTGAACCATCAGCACTTGATGAGTGTATAGCATAAAATGTTCCTAAATCAACCTGCTTATAAAGTATCAAAAAATTTGTTTGTGGCAGTGTCACTATTAAGATAAATTTGGTTAATCATCGATATAAAATGCCTGATATGTGTTTATCGACAGAATAATAAACAATTTGAAACATGACATAATAAACTCTATTATAAGTATCATAACCTTAACAACAGTACACTTTCAGGAATAACAGAAATGTTATACCTAGAAACAGAAGTACTACAAAGCTTGATTGGCTCTATAAATTGTTTATTCATGGTATTCTCATGTCTGCCAGTTCACATCTAATATATAATTTAATACTGTACTTAAAATTACAATTTTATCTATGACAAATGTAGGAGAGACCTTAAACATATTTTATTATGGAATGAAAGTTTGTAAAAGTTTAGAAAGATATTTCATACTATTAATTATGAGCAGATGACAATACTTAAATATACAATTAAGAAACCGAGACTCAAAATGTCTGATTTAGTCTGGTCATGTTTCTGATCAATTGTTAGCAGAGAGATTCCATGGTTCCTACAATTAGAAGTTTGTTCATCTAGTACTGACCCTTATCATTAACTGGACTCTCACTTCTGATCTATGTCTTATGCATTCCAATGACTTTCAAGTAGAATTGTTGATAAGGTGAAGATTCTTTCAATAACTAGAAATTAAATTAACTTGATCTCCAATATTCCCTTACATCCTTCTCAAAACATACAGCCCGGGACTGTGAGGCTGGTATCCTGTTTTGCCTTGTTGGCATTTTTTTTTTTTTTTAAAGCCATAGGTCAAAGGGCATGCAGAGACTTTGATCATCCTCCCTCCATTTATTGACATTAATCAATTTGAGTTTCAAAAAAAGATCTGCCTTTATCTTAAACATCTTGATGCACCTTGTTTACTCACTGTCTTCAAATTTTTATATCTCTAGCGATACAGACAGAATTAATCCCAAAAAATGTGAAAGAAGCAGTCGTCAATGATAAATCTTAAAGAAAGGGGCATAATTAAACTATAAACTACATGACAAAACAAAACAAAATGCCCACAAAATTGAAGACCTACCACGTTTATGTAGATATGTGTAGTGCACTATATAGGTATTAATGTACAATAGAAGATATAATCTATATATATATAAGATATGTCACATTTCACACTAGTATTTCCTATCTAATGTAAACAGGTTTGGTCAATATATGTACAGATGTGATGGTTGATTTGAAAACTCACGCAGATTAAAATGTAAATATATTGCCAAAAACTAATTCCAAGTTTGAACTTTTAATCACATTTAAAGATGCATTATGTAAGAGCTAAATCTGCCTATTAGGCCTTTTTACCTTCAATGTTATATAAATTATTATTAAGACATGTATTCACATAAGCTCATAATCAACACTGGATGGCTGAGATATTTAATGGATTATAACAACCTCACCATGTAATAATGTAAAGATAAAATAGAAACTCAACAGTATTTGACAATCGAGATTTGAGACTACCTTGTCAAAACTTTAGAATTTTCAATACATTCATTTCTCCTTATCTAAATCTTACATAATGCATCTTGAATATAATGTTTAAGTGGCATTTAGCGATTGAGAAACACATTAAACAGAACACAATTTTTATGGGAGATCAATCAATGCGCTTGATAAGGATAAGAGGATACTTGTTGAAACATTTTGCTTTTAGAATAAAACCAGTGATTGATCTCCTATAAAAATTGTGTTTTATTTACATCTTGAATAGTAGAATAGCTAATCCAGGTTATCAGCAACCAAAATATTTTACAAATGAAAAAGAAATACTCTCACTTACCTGTTTGAGTTTCTCCAATAATTTAAGGTATGGCTCAAAACACATCTGTGTAAAAAGATAATAGTCTCCATCATACAGCTTTTTATAGAGAGATTGATAGACTTGTTTTACAACTATAGGCGTCTGGTCACCGTAGTATTCTACTAATTGATCACATAATATATCACTTATTTCACTTTCCTCTTCTGGACCAGTCTGAAAAACAACACACAAAATTGATTACATGAATGTAAATATTGTTATACACTGTGAATATAAACTGCATATTTTATTTCAACACATCTCTTGTATAATGTTGTAATGTACAGCAAGACCATATTTTGTAAATACGTGAAGAATAGTTTAACAATTGTTGATCTTGTACATTCTTTGGTTGTTTTTTTTTTAACTACTAAGACGTCTGTACACACATAGAGCTTTATTTTCAATTCGCAATCCTTTCCTGGAAGCTCAAACTGTCACCATCATATTTTCAAAAAAATCTATCTCCTATATGAGTACCCCATATTCTTAAAGCAATGGTTATGAGCATTATCAGCTCAATGACCATTGCTACACACATCAAATATTAATCATTAGTCAATGTTTTCATTGGCCTACCAAGACTAACCACTCCACAATGGTTGATAAAACCTCTAGTGGTTTTATTGTTACAGATTTTACCTGTATAAATCATTCAAGTGGGAATTGGTTAAGCTTTTGCAAAATTTGTATTGTTCATTTCACAACATAATTAATCAGAAAGGTCATTTTAGTTTACAACATTATTGATCAGATAATTCTTAACATTGCTTTAGGAACATGGGTTAGGCCTATCACTGACAGTTCAACTAGGGAATGTTAGTGGCCAAGTTCACTAACCAGGGGCTCCAGGGATGACCCTGGTGTTGTTGGCGTGCACATGAACCAATCTTTGACAGTTGGAATTTGACGAAGACTAGCCGGAAACCACTAACTGTTCGGGCAAAATTTCCCTTGTAGCACTTCTGATTGGTTCAGGAGAGTAAAATGTTTAAACCCATTTCATTTTCTCATCTATATACCATCATTCAAATTAAAAGAAATTTCCAATGGCATTTTCCCAAAATACTTTTCTTCTGTGTAAGCGGATATTTTATTTGTCAAAAAGGACCACAGTAAAAACAGATTTACCTCCCTTGCATAAAATGACCCACCTGTTGAGTTTAGCTTTATTTGGTAGAATAACAAGTTTAGTAAATGGCATATAATACAGTAAAAAAAAAAATCAATTCATTTTATACAGACGAGTGACAGCTGTTACAACTTTACTTATTGTTAATTATCATAATGATATCTAATATGAAAATGTAACTTGACAATTACACTTAGTTTAAATTGAACAATACAAATTTTAACCTACCATGTGTTCTCTTTAAAAAAATATATATCCTTAAGAGAAATTATCACTTTGACCAAGAAAATAACTAATTACTTTTTTAACAATAACTATATTATCAAAAATCTAAGGACTGTTCCACATAAAAGAGTTAAACATACATTATGCAAGAACTGAATATGTCTATTGCAGGTCTTTCTTTAGGCCTTAAATTTTATGTAAACTATTAATTAGACATTTATTAACATGACAAGACCATAATCAACTCTCAATGCCATCTGACAGGTACGATTTTAAACAGATTTGAATCCAATCTGCAGTATCAATAGCTGTTCATGATTAACCATAAATGGATAATTGAGACTTTGTTTATTATTATAACAATGGTATGGTGGCCCATGGTCGCAATAGCGTTTTTTGGGTTACTTTTGGTATTTCATTTAAAATAATAAAAATATTAGTACAAAAAAAAAAAAAAAGAAACATTTTTTTTTTTTTACAAAATAAAAGAAAATAATCTTTTAAAATTTAAAAAAAAAAATCTTTTTAAAAATTTAAAAAAAAAAAAAAATCTTTTTAAAATTTAAAAAAAAAAATCTTTTTAAAATTTTTAAAAAAAAAGTCTTTTTAAAATGAAAAAAAAAAAATCTATATATATATAAAAAAATAATAAAATATATTTTAAAAAAAATAAAAAAGAAATAATATTAAAAAAAAAATTAAATGAAAAAAAAGAAAATTGAAAAAGAAAAGATAAAAAATAATTCCCGACGTGGCCCATCGTCGCAATAGTGTCTTGAGTATCCAGACCCAGTATACAGCTATCATTAGACTAGAGCAACCAGAAACATTTTGTGGCCCATTGTTGCAGTAGTATCTCGATTATCATGAGTGGGATCTATGAAGAACGTATAAACTCGAACGACAAGAAACGAGTCTGTAGTTATCTCACGTCAACATAATTGTAGATACTTCAATTTTGATTGGCTAAGCACTAAAATAAATCTAATATTATCTATTATCCAATCAAATACTAAAATTTGAATTTTATCTTAGTAAAACAGGCCCCAGACGAAGTCCACGTAGGCTATCATGCTCTATTTTGTCTTTGAAATTGATGTTGTGTGCCATCGCACTTTCGCACCTCTTACCCGTTCCTGTGGTCGTAGCGGTGGACTAGCGATGACCTCAGGGAGAGCAGGGGTTTCACAAAAACTTAAGCTAAAATCACTAACATAGATTTTAAAATCAAAGTGAAATTTTAAATTTATGCGTTTCACGAAGATCGATTGTAACTTAAAATTACTTGTGCCTTGATGTGAGGTAACTATAGACTCGTTTCTTGTCGCTCGAGTCTATACCATACGTTCTTCATAGATCCCACACAGGATAATCTGAACGACAGACCCACGATGTTTGACAGGTCACCCTACTCCTTGTCACGTACAACCGGGGATTCGAAATCACGCCAGTTGACTCAATGACGGGCTTTATGATATGACAGGCTTTATGATACAGCGCGCACGTGCTAGCCATTCGCCCCCCCCCCCCCCCTGGCTACTTAGTAGTAGAAGGCCTATATACTTCGAGGATTAGTTTCAAAGTTGTTAACTACTTTTGAAATTCAACCTCAGGGAGACCAAGTGTTTTAAAAACATTACATAACCTTTGGGGGGGGGGAATAGGCCTTGCGCACTAGTAGGCCGAATGGTGTCATTAAAGTCAATGACTTCAAACGTCATTATGTATGTAGGCCTAGTTCTAGTTAGACTGGATAAACTAATCTAAATGACGCTAGGCTTCTATAGTCTATTAATTATACATTTCTATTGACTTGCATATGTATAAATACATATATCCAAGTCCATAGACGTCATGGGTGGAAAAATTGTGTTTCACGTGTTGATGTCTGTTTACCTTTTTCCTTTCGGAAGGGGAGATAACTACAAACTCGTTTCTTGTCGCTTGAGTTATGCCACATAGGATAATCGAGACACTATAGCAACAATGGGCCACGAGGTATTTCTGGTCACTCGAGTCTAATGATAGCTGTCGTAGGCTGATTTTATACTGAGTCTGGATAATCAAGACACTATTACTACGATGGGCCACGTGCAGAATTCTTTTTTTGATTTTTTCTATTTCACTTATTTTTTTTTTTTAATTAAAATGTTATTTTTTTTATAGATTTTTTTAATCTTAAATATTTTAATAATTTTTTTTATATAGATTTTTTTTTATTTTAAAAAGATTTTTTTTTTCTTAAATTTTAAAAAGATTTTTTTTTTCTTTTTAATTTAAAAAGATTTTTTTTTCTTTTTAATTTAAAAAGATTTTTTTTTTCTTAAATTTTAAAAAGATTTTTTTTTTATTTTGTAAAACAAAAGAAAAAAAAAATGTTTCTTTTTTTTTACTTTTATTTTTTATGATTTTGAATGAAATACAAAAAATAGCCCCAAAAACGCTATTGCGACCATGGGCCACCATAATGGTGACAATGACAATCAAGGCTACAGTGTTTTTTAAATTCGGTTGGGTTTTTTTTTTCGACTCAGAGTGAAGTAATTTGACTGAAATTTTCAGCATATTCTATTAACATTATCTATTTTTTAACTATTATAGCCAGAACTGTCAGCTCTTTATCTTATCTTAATGCTGTTTTAGTAATTCATTAAATAATATTTTAAGACATGGTTTAAAGGACGTATGGCTCTATTTTTTGGAACCTTGAAATAAGACAAAAATGGTTCTAAAAGCACATACTAATGTAATATGAATGTATGTAAAGTGATTTATATTTCATTTTTGAAAAGAATATTGTAATTTCTAATCAATTATGCTCGGTGAAATATGTGAACATTTCCTTTACACCTGCTTAGTGCATTCTACACGTTTTTTAAATTATTATTTTGTCGTTTGTGAATCAGCCTTTACTAATTACTTCCACATTGTGTTGTAGGGTATGTTTTTATTTGTTCATTACAAAATGGCACCCGAAACTATAGGGTTACACGACTTGTATACTGATTATACCAGCGGCTGCCAGGCAGGATACGAGAGATGGATAGAAAACAAGCTAACAACAAAGTGACTTTTCCTACTATCAAGGGCCATAATTCAGGAAATTACAATTCAATATGCGCGAATATCGAAAGGAACTGGAATCTTTGGGTTATAAACTTACATTTCAAGTTTCAACAAAATCGGATAAAAATCGTGACCTTGATCATATACCATATTCTTACGCTATTTGAGAACGAACGGCAGCCATTTTGTCATTTTGTAACGGTGATATAATAATACAGGTTTTTAAATCGGATAAAAATTATGACTTCTATAGGGTCCACAAGCTAAAAAGGCGATTTTTCGTACAATCAGGGGCCATAATTCAGGAAATTATGGTCCGATATGCGCGAATATCGAAAGGAACCGAGATCTTTGGGTTATAAACTTATATTTCAAGTTTCAACAAAATCGGATAAAAATTGTGACCTCTATGGGGTCCACAAGCTAAAAACATGATTTTTCGTACAAACAGGAGCCATAATCCATGAAGTTTCGATCCGATACATGCCAATATCGAAAGCAGCCGAGACCTTTTGGAGATAAAACTATATTTCAAGTTTCGTCAAAATCGGATAAGAATTGTGACCTCTAGAGTGTCCACAAACAAATTGTGGACAGACGGACGTACAGGGGCGACGGCATAATACGTCCACATGAAAATGTGGGCGTATAAAAATATTAATTTTGTCTTAAATATTGGATAATAGGATGCTATAGTTTCATGGCAAGATAACAACACCAATATTGATTGAAATTGATCAATATTGAATTC